TGGAAAAACAATGAAATTAACTTAAAACAGGGCTCACAATTATGGTATACTGATCGGTCTAAAATGGAGGATGGCAGTACGGGAGCAGGACTTATAGGACCGAAATTCCGCAAAGCAATCGCAATGGGAAAAATGCATCCATTTTTCAGGCAGAGGTCCATGCCTTAGAACTATGTGCACGAGAATGCATACGAAGGGGCACCCGAGGTACCAAAATATGCATCCTTTCAGATAGCCAAGCAGCTCTAAAATCTTTAGCAAAATGCTTATTCCAATCAAAGTTGGTTTGGGAATGCTTTCATTTTCTCAACACCCTAGCATAGAGGAACTATTTTACTCTTATGTGGGTACCGGGACACGAATAATGGAATTTGATTTTCTTTTTTGTTAATAAAGTCTAAAAATTTGTTAGTAAAGTGGTTTAATTTTGAACTATTTACTATCAGTTTCCATTTATTAATTCATTGTTCAATTTCTTGAAAAGCAGTTTAAAGCTTTGTGATAGACACCGTTGTTTGGATCTGTAGCCATTATTACCATCTGCAAAAGTTTCCACAATACACAATACACCTCACTGGCAAGCCATATGTGTATAGCAGATAGAACAATGTGCCTAGTATGTAATTTAGCCCGGTGGTACCTTTTGCCAATATACGATTCCAGTAGTTCACAGTATTGCTGTGGCAGAATAGTGTTTAGCTTATATACAAGGACAGAATGCCATACTTCGTCAAAAGCCGTTGAGATATCAAGAAACACATCTGAACAAGTGTCCTTGCTTTGTAAGGCCTTTTCGATTTCGTGCGTAACTCTATTCACTTGCTTGATCGTTGCGTGTTTTTCACGAAATCTAAACTGATGATATGGAATAAAATTTCTTTGCAAACTATTTTTTCAAGTCTTTTACAAATGAGCTTTTCAAATAATTTTTCTATGGCTGGCAAGAGCGAGATTGGTCTATACGAAGCTTGAGAATGTTTATCCTTGTCTGGTTTTAGAATTATCACCACTTCGGTAACTGTCCAATAACTTGGGACATGATTTGATTTAATTCCCGCATGAAGTAATTGTACAAACCTTTTGGAGGTAGCTTTTTCAACAATTCACTTTCGCTTCTTGATTTCTCCACCAACTTCTTTGTTTTTCATCAGTAAAATAGCTTCATTACCTAGATTGTTATTTGGCTCTATGCGCTGGATTTCTTTTGGACTGAAGGTATTGTTTAGATATTCATTACTCAGCCAGTTCGAGTGCCTATACAATAACGTTTTTTTGCCCAAATAAAAAAGGAAGAAATATGGGAATTGAGTCTGTGATATTTTTTCCTATCTTTCCAGAGAAAATAATTAGTTTTACTGTCATATGTCAAGGTTGTAATATATTTCCCATCATTTTCATTTCCACGGTTTTAGATTTCTCATCTCAATTTTTGTGGGTCCTATTAAGGTTTCTTTTATCTTGTGTTAAATGTGATTGCTGCCATTTTTTGCGAAGTTTTCTGTTATTACAGGATAGGTTTAAAATTTCGGTTGGATATATCTTATCAAATTGCTTACTATTCTGCTAAACTGCGCCACATCGATTTTTAAATCAAGCTAGTAAAGCTATGCGTTTTGCTCTCTAGGTCATCAATGTTTATTTGGTCCTTAAAATAATTTCAATCTGTTGGACGGTACATAATGGTTTGGGTTGCGTATATAGAATGTTATATAGAATGGGTTTTATTTAAAATGAAAATGACATCTATAATTTGTTTGTATCAGTTGGCCAGTACTATAATATAAGTATCAGTTGGTAGACTATAAATGAACGTTATTAGGATTTTGGAACCACTCTTTTGGAACTCATCAGTTGAGAGTTTATTTTCTTGATAATACTTAATGCTTGTATGTGGTATGGATCTTTTGATATTATTTAATTGAACTGGGGGGGCAGGAGCTTTATTTGTTTTTTGGTCTCTAAGTTTTCGTAACTTCTTTGTTACAACACAACCGATATGATACTGGATGTTACTTACCATAGTTGACATTTTGGGTGACTATCATCAGGTTTTTCACAATTTATAGTTTCATGCTTTCCTGTACATTTCACAGATCTATGTTGCTTTTGACAGTAGTTTCTGGTATGGTTAAAGGATAGGCATTTGATGCACTGTGGAATAAGTTTTGAAGGTTTTATTGCTTCTATACCATAGTCACAATCGTGTTAAGGATCTCTTCAATTTCATTAATTTTGTTCGTATATTCAGCAGACTTAAATGTTAAGAAGAACATGTCCAGAGATTTCTTGGTTTTAAATTGTAGTCAAGAGTACCTAATGTTGATGATTTATTTTTGCTTTTTTGTGACATTATTTTTTTTGTATCGTTGTAGTTGTCGGAAATGTTTACCATAATTGGTGGTAGTCGTAACTTGATTGATGGCTTTACCGTTTCATTAGATTACTTTTGTGTCATCTTCTTAAGAGTTCGTGACACAATTGGAGATTTGGTGGTTTTACGCTTTTAAGAAGCTCTTTTGTTTTTTTTTAACGATCCAGTCGGTTTCTCCAGGAAGCTCTGAATATTGACTAGAAATATTAGAAAACAAAAAATGCATATACAAGAGCTGCGTTTCAACCAATTTTACTAGCAAAACAATAACAATGGGGTGAACCCCATTTGATCAGGTTCACATTCTGGTTCAATGTGGAATGTATATAGAAAATAAAAGTGGAATATATTTTAATGAAAATGTCGTTGGCAATGCGATTTTAACATATGATACGGTGCAATAAAAAATATAAACAAAACTACATTACTATTTTTTTATTATTTGTTTTATTTATTTATTTGTTTATTATGTCATTGTTATATATTTCTTTGTTTGATGTAATGTTTTAATTATTACACTAATTAAAATAATTACTTTAATAATTCATATTTTATTTTTTTTGAAAATATTGTTTGATAATCAAATAATTTGAAATTTAAGTTAAGTTCTTTTATTTAATTAGAACAGAAGAACACATAATTTACTTGTTAAATATGCTTTATTCTTCACAATTCTTTAAAACTCATTTGAAAATTAATCAGTATGAAATTATTCGATGTTAACCATGAGTCGTTATGACACCAGTATCAATTATATATCGCTTAACTAAATTCCATATGTCATCCACTTCACGATATTGAGGATTTATTATGTATTCCTCGTGGATATACTCATTCTGAATGAATTCATTATAAACTTATCATTATGTGTACAACATATATTATGCAATATGTATGCACGCAGAATAAAATTTGTTATTGAAGGTGTTCTTTGTTGTTCCATAAAATATAACAATCGACGAATCCTTGTTTTCATATGATCAAGTGTGTTTTCTATGACAATCCTTGCCTTCTAAGGCATTACATGCAAATCGGCAGATGTGCAGAATCTCCTAAAAGAGAAGAACAGCTGGGGAATTTCTTTGGTGATGCTGTACTATACAGTTGCGATCTACATAAAACTCGGCTGTCGTGTAAGGAACCAGGCTCTCTAACATGCACGTCTATGAAAAGGCAATTTGCCTGCAAGATTAAGCCATAATAATGATTCCTATTGAAGTAAGCCTCCTTGCCATAGTGTGAAGCACTTATTCTAAAATGTCTACTGTCTTTGCAATAAATCACGAACGGAAATATTTTCGGGGCTTCCACTTTTGCCATGTTATTCTTTTGGCGCCAAAATTATTCACACAAATCAAAACAAAACATCAAAACGAATCCAAACAGCTGGTATGATTGTTGCGTTGCCAATTACTTTGACATGTGATCCGTATCGTTTCAGCAAAGAAGATCCAGATCATTGTTTTCTAAAACGCAGCTAATGGTGTTTGTCTCTATCGTGCTGTTTCTATCTGTTGTTCATATATAAAAATAGTAGGCACAAAAATTCTTTTATCGAAAACATAAAACATTCAAACTATATTAAATGCTTAAATATGACATTTCCTTATTTGAGTTTTTAAATTAAAAATTTATTTTGACTTTCTTTACAATTCACAGAAAGACGAAAACACACGTTTTGATGATGGCAATGACATTACGCGACACTGCGGAACCAATAAATGATAATCAAGCAGAGTTAGAACCAAGTAACTCACTAGAATCCAATGAGCAACGTAATATGTTTTTATCAAATTTTGGTTTAATATGTGACGAAGCATTAACATTAAACAAAGTTAAGCAACATGACAGTCCTGCAAGAGATGATTTCATGATACTGCACAAAACAATGCATTTACGAAGACGTAAACGGGCCGTTCAACCCCTAGCACGATGCCCAACAATTCCATTAACATCACCTGCTGGTGAACTGTTAATACGTGCTACAGAAGCGAACGTTACAACAGATTAAATCACTAAACGTCTCGTTCATTTGGATCGATTTTGTCAAGCACCATTGTTATTGAAAGGTGTACAAAGGCCAAAATATTTTGATAAAAAGTATGTCCAAAAAAAAAATATTCGAATAACTTACAAAAAACAACAGGATCCAACAGGATGGTATCATATATATAAATATCCACGACGTCAGCATTTACAACGTCACCGTAAAGAGGATCTTGATTTCTTCAATGGGGAACTCATTAAACAGTGTCGACCACTCAAAGTACGAATCAAGAAACTTAATTATCAGGAAGTTAAACAAACAAATAAGTCACCTATGGATAGTGGTTCAAAACTGAATATTAAAAAAATCCTCAAAAATAGTCATAATGCAAAATGCGAGAAATCAGCAGCCAACCAAATACTTGTTGATACAATTGATTTATGTTCATCTGATGAGGACGAAGGCGGCGCAAAACCAAATTCGCATTCAAATAAAGCAATAAAGCAATAAAGCACCTATAGCTACGGCACTGCGTACAACCCAAACACCAAACAACTGTTTTACCGAGACCTCTAGGACCATCTATTTAATGATTTTCGAATAATATGATGAACAACACCTTTAACATCCTTTGTTCCTGTGATGAATAATTTTTTGTCATCGAATATAGAAGGCGCAAATTTCCATAATTATAATCAGGAAAATCGTATGCAAAAACCAACAGGTACCAAACATCATAGGAAGTAAGTAATAATATATATACTGGTTTCAATATTGAACTCTATTTTTAATTCCTATTATTAACTAGAAAAACACACACTTTATTGACGAAATGGAAAAATTTTATATTCCTTTAGGCTTAGTTTTTCATGACATTTTTTTTGCTTATATTTGATAAATTTAAAAATATGTTTATATGTTTTTTGCTAATAATTTGAATTAAAATGTGAA